GATTCGTGCCAGTAATGCCGGGGTGAGATGGTATCTCATTGTGGTTTTAATTTGCATTTCTCTAATGGCTAGTGATCGGGAGCATTTCCTCATGTGTCTGTTGGCCATTGTACTATTTTTTTTATTAAATATAAATCAACCTTAACTTGGTTTTACATTTAAATGCATTTATTTAAAAAAAAATTTTATATTCCTGCAAATTCATAGATTTGATGTTCTGGTTGAATTTTTTCTGATACTTTGTGAAGTAAATGTAACATAGAGGAAAATGTCCATCCGTCACCTGAAATCACATTTATGTCAGTCAAGGGTAGAAAAGATTTATTGAAATGGATTAATCTGTTAAAATAATTCTTATTGTTTGTGTAGCTCTTAAAATCATCTCTCCCAGTGAAATATACTATCACAACCACCTTAGACTTAGTTACCTTACGTGTTGTTATTGTTAACTGCCATCAGGTTGACCCCCGACTCATGACGACCCTATGTCTGAAGAGTAGAACTGCTCTTTAGGGTTTTCTTGGCTGTAATCTTTACAGAAGCAGCTCACCAGTCCTTTCTTTTGTGGAGCTGCTGAGTGGTTTCGGACCACCAACCTTTAGGAGCCAGTCGCAAACCGCGTGCACCACCCTGACTCCTTAGTTACCTTACATACCTGGTAAAATTTACACTTACAGAAATGAAATAAATTTAACAAGGTGCACACAAACAAAAAAAAAAATTAGAGAGATTGAATGACTTTCCCCAGTTATGTACCTAATAAGTAAGAAGGCCAGGATTTAAATGTGTCAGTTTTTTAATGCAGGGATACCTTACATAAACATTTCAATTTTCTTGACTTTGTTTTCTTATTTTTTGAGATAGAAGAGATAATTCAGAATTAATTCATAGAATTTAAGAGATTTAAACACACTTATTGTTTTGTAGTATAAGGTCTTAAATAATTTAAATACTTTTTTTGAATGATTCATATTTTCCTTAACTAATTGAAAAGTATGAGAAAGTGTCAGTTTTAAACTATTTGACATTTTATATAAATTTTCTCATTTAAATGTCTATTTTTACTCCTTTATATTGATTATCATAAATACTTGCATTAAAATTAAATGTCTCTTGTCTTCCTAATGTGTTTAATATTGAGTTACAGTAATTACTTCTCGAAATTTTGTGAAAATTTCCTTCTATCTGGCAATATCAAGTTAAAATATTAACTAGGTTTTAGAAAACTTAATAACCATGCAGTGTCAAAAATTTAAACTGTAAAGAATAGTAAATAAGATAAAGGTTTTCCTCTATTCTCTACCTCCCAGACCTGCTCGAAAGTTTCAACTTATGCTCACTTTGGTGCAGATTTTATGTTTATATCTTTTTTATTGTTTTATTGTGATAGAAATATATATACCAAAACATTTGCCAGTTCAACATTTCTTTAACATGTATAATTCAGTTCATCATGTTGTTTAACTATCACCACCATCCATCAATTTCTAAATCATTCAATCACCATTAGCAGAAACTCAGTACCCCCTAAGCAAAGACCCGCCCATCCACCCGTCTTGTTGTGTGCCTTGGAGTCGATTCGATTCATAGCGACCCTGTACGACACGGTAGAACTGCCCACAGGGTTTCCTAGGCTGTATTCTTTATGGGCGCAAATCACCAGGTGTTTTCTCCCATGGGGTGGCTGGTAGGTTCTAAATTGTTGACCTTTCAGTTAACAGCCGAGAGCTTAACTATTGTACCACCAGGGTTCCTCCCTCCCACCCCGGTAATCACTAATCAACTTTTTGGTCTTTGTACATTTACCTATATTACATAAGTGGGATCATACAATATTTGTCCTTTTGTGACTGACTCATTTCACTCAGTGTAATGTTTTTAAGATTTATCCTTGTTGTATTAAAAAAAAAACCCACCGCCGTTGAGTCAATTCTGACTCATATTGACCCTATAGGATAGAGTAGAACTGCCCCGTAGGGTTTCCAAGTCTGAAAATCTATAAGGAAGCAGACTGCCACATCTTTCTCCCTGGAGTGGCTGGTGGGTTTGAACCACTGACCTTTTGGTTGGCAGCCTAGAGCTTTAACCACTGCACCACCAGGCTCCGTATAACATGTATCATTTCTCTTTATGACTGAATAATATTCCATTGTATTTGTATACATCTTTTTAAAATATAGACAGAATCATACTATATTTACTATTTTGCAGTATAAATACATGTAATATTTACATGTAAATAATCTTCATTCTTTTTTAATGGCTGAAGAATTCATCTTAAGGATGTTATTAAGGATTCTCTAGGTTGTTCCCAGTTTTTTGCTGTTAGAAACAATACTGTTTTTGAGTTAAGTACTGAACCTGTTCTGAGAATACAGAGGCTACTAAGATGTGGCTTTACCCTCAAGGAGCTTGTAGTCCATTAATATTACTTTTTTGGGCAGTGAAGGACATTGAATAGTGAACAGGGCTTACCTACTGCATTAGCAGATAATTGTGGGTTATGATTTTTAGCTAGAATTTCAGAAGCCTGAATATTGATAGACTTATAATTTTATAATAACCAAAATAAAACCCAAACCCATAGCCATCGAGTCGATTCTGACTCATAGTGACCCTATAGGACAAAGTAGAACTGCCCCATAGGGTTTCCAAGGCTGTAAATCTTTACCGAAGCAGACTGCCACCTCTTTCTACTGTGGAGTGGCTGGGTGGGTTCACACAGTTGACCTTTCGGTTAGGAGCCAAGCGCTTTAACCACTGTGCCACCAGGGCTCCTATAATTAATAATAGCTAAGATAAAAATCTACCTTTAACATTGTTAGCATATTGACTGCTATCTTTTAAAATAATTAACTGAATGTCTTATTTTATATATATGGATTTATGATTTATAAAAGTGATGAATAAACCTTAGTTTGTAATTCCTTTATTATGCTGGTAGTCCTCTGAGAGTAGCATTTATAATTAAAATGTGCAAAGAGTTGCTGAAGGTAATCTATATTTATCCTTTTACTACAATTTCTGATCATATCAGTAACTCTCTGAAGTGTGAAATAATCATGGGCATTTGGTTAATGAATTGCACATTTTTGCTGTTCATTCATGGAATTTGTTCTTTTATTATATTTGATGCTTCACTTAACAACAAATTTTGCTTTCT